AAACGTTCTGGAAATCTTACTGTTCTTCCAGAACGCGCTGTTTAAAGTTTATTTTCAGATACTGTCGAAGTATCATCGTGCGTGTTGGTTGTTGGATGAGGTATTATAAGTGTCGGAGTCGTGTCGTTCGATTTTACCGAAGGAAAATCGACGTAGACAGGACTTCCCTCTAAATACGCTGCTTCGAGGCGATCGATGCTGATGCTGTCGTTGGTTCCGTCCTTATCGATTATGTAGTACTTAGGTTCGCGTTAAAGAACTTTGAAAGGTCCTTCGTATGCTGATTCGAATGGTCGTCGACGTACAAAGACGTGTGTACTATATCGTAAGTCAGGTTGAACGAAAACATCAGTTGATTGAGGTCGAGTGGAAGCAGGTTTAACTGAACGCATTGCGTTTGTCAGCCTGTTCGTGTAGGAGGTTAGATCCATGTTCATTGAAGAGGATGAAGGACCCACGAATTATCCTGGAAGTCGAAGTGTTGTTCCATAAACGAGTTGAGCCACAGTGTATCCAATGTCAGCCTTCACTGCAGTGCGGATACCTAGTAAGACGAGTGGAAGAGTGTCGGTCCACTGTGAAACGTGTGCAGCTGATAGCGAAGCTTTAAGTTGTCGATGAAAACGTTCTACCAACCCGTTTGCCTGTGGGTTGTAGGCAGTCGTTCGGAAACGAGTGATTCCTAAAAGTGTGATCAGACAACGGAAAAGTTCAGATTCGAACTGACGTTCGCGATCTGTAATGATGGTTGAAGGGCAGCCGAAGTTTGCTACACATCGTTCGACGAAGGTGCGGGCCACTGTTTCAGCAGTGGTGTCCTTGATGCGTACTGTTTCTGGCCACCGAGTGAAACGGTCTACGCAGGTTAAGAGGTAAGAGTATCCATTTGAATCTGGTAAAGGTCCTACCAAATCCAGATGAACATGGTCGCAACGAGCATCAAGAGTCTTAATCGAGCCTAAGGGACATTTATTGTGTCTGATAACCTTAGATTTTTGGCAGCTTACACAGGAGCGTGCCCACTCCCTCACGTCTTTATTCATACCAGGCCAGCAAAACCGTTCTGCTATAAGCTTGATGGTTGCACGAACACCTGGATGAGAAAGTCTGTGCGACGTATTGAAGACGTCGTGTCGATAATGTTTCGGAACGATTGGGCGATCCCTACTTGTAGATGTGTGACGAAGTAAGGTTTCCTTACCTGTTCCCATCTGTTTGATGCGTAACTTGAGAGTTGTAGACGATAACTCGTGCTGAAGATCAGTGTCTTCCTTTTGAAGCTCGACGAGTTTAAGAAGGTCAATTCCTTGGAAACTGTTCAAGGAAGTTATGCGAGACAAGGCGTCTGCGACTACATTGTTTGCTCCAGAAATGTGTTGGATGTCTGAAGCAAACTGCGAAACGTAGTCCAGTTGTTGAGACTCACGAGGTGAGTACTTTTCTGAAGTGGAACTTAAAGAGAAAGAAAGAGGATTATGGCCAGTAAAAAGGGTGAGTTCACGACCTTCGATGTAGTGTTGAAAATGCCGTACAGTACAATACATTACTAGGAGTTCCCTACCGAATGTGCTGTACCTCGATTCAGTGTCTAGCAACCGTCTAGAGAAAAATGCCAAAGGTTGCCAAGAGTTGTTAACCCATTGTTGTAAGACTCCTCCGACTGCTGAGTCGGTTGTGTCTACTGCGATGCTAATGCCTGCTTGAGTGTCCTGATGGGCAAGCATTGTTGCTTTAGCGATCAGTTCCTTAAATGTGGAGAATGATTTTCGTGCGGTGTTGTCCAAATCAATGGGTTTCGCAATTCCACGAAGTTGGTCGGTCAGAGGTTTCATGAGTAATGCGCACTTCGGTATGAATCGTCTATAGAAACTTACAAGGCCGTTAAACGTTCGTAACTGCTCGATGATGGTCGGTTCTGAGTAATTCAGAATGGTCGCCACTTTGGTCCTAAGGGGTCGAATACCTTGAGCATCAATAGCGTGTTCTAGGTAGTCTAATGAGTCAGCTCCGATTTGGTATTTCAGAATCTTTATAGTAATGCCATGTTTTTGTAGTCGTTCGAAAACAAGATCCAGATGCTGGAGATGCGATTCTCTGTTCCGAGTTGCTATTAAACAGTCATCAACATACGCATGTACGAAGTTGAGACCTTGAAAAACGTCGTCTATGAATCTTTGGAATGTTTGAGCAGCATTCCTTAGACCGAAAGGCATTCGTGAAAATTCATAGAGTCCGAAGGGAGTTATGATAGCTGTTTTCGGTATGTCGTCAGTAGCCATAGGGATTTGGTTATACGCTTTAACCAAGTCGATTTTCGAGAAGACAGTTGTACTTTTCAAGGTAGCTGTCAAATCGTGAATGTGAGGCAACGGGTAACGATCGGGAATGGTTTTCGCGTTCAATCGCCGATAGTCACCAGTTGGACGCCAATCGTTGCTGTCCTTTTTAGGGACCATGTGCAACGGAGATGCATATGGGCTACTTGACGGTCTTATGATTCCTAAGTCTATCATATGGTCGAACTCGTTTTTCGCCAACCTTAGCTTTTCGGGGGCTAGTCGTCGTGCTTTAGAGAATACTGGTGGTCCTGTAGTCGTGATGTGGTGTGTAGTGTTGCTGGTTACACACGGCAGTTTCAGTTGCGTTTGATGAATCCCAGGATACTTATCGAGTAGTGGTTGATAAATTGGGTCTATCGTATGCTTAATTGTGACTGGGTATAATATGCAACCAGAAAAAGAATTACGCAAACGGATAAATTAGTGTTTCCGTCTACTAGCCTCCGTTTGCGAGTGTCGATGATCAGATTATGGTGTTGTAGAAGGTCCATACTAATGATTGGCATAGAAACATCTGCAACAACGAAGATCCAGTGAATGGGTTTGCGTAAACCCACGTTAAGGTAAACGTACCTTTTGCCATACGTAGCGATAGGTTTTTCGTTTGCCGCCTGTAAGTTTAAAGCCAATTCGTAAAGTCCGTCGTAAAAATTCGCTGAGAGAACGCTAACTTCTGCGCCGGTGTCGACGAGGTAGCGAATTCTCGTTGTCACATCTGTGACGTGTAACATACGGCTGTGTTCGCCGGCTACTGTTGCCGTTAACGCATGCCGTCTTGGAAGTTGCTCGAGTTGTTTTTCGAGTCACTCGGTTTCGTGTTGGGAAAATTGCAGGGTTTTCTGCAATTTCTGGAAAACTTTCCATACTGGTTATGATACCAACACCAGTCGGGGTTATCCGCCTCTCGTGGTTTAGAGACAGATCGCTTACGTGAAATGCTTCTACGTGGTGTGCGCGATCTCTTACGGTCGGTACGAAGACTAAGATAACGCGTGAGTGTGTGACATAACTCGGTTATATCATTCTGAGTCGTTTGAGGTTTTTCTTTGACTGAAAATACCTCGGTAGTAGAAGGTTTCGTAATTTCTAAAATGCGGTCGGCAGAAGCAGCTAGTTCGTCTAAGGCGTTGTTCTGAAACGAGACCAGAACTGCTTGCACCTGTTGGGGAAGTTTTGATAAGAAGAGTTGTTTGAATAGACCTTCGTCGAAAGTTCTTGGGCCTATTACCTCTCTCATTCGTTGCAACATGTCCGTCGCAGAACCGTTTTGCAGGTTGATGTTATTGAAGAGTTGATCTAACCTTTGTCGATCGGTTAAGTCTCCTCGTTTAAGAATCGAATGCTTTAAGATTTCGTACGGGTCAGAAACATCACTAGTAAACATAATAGGTGTTACGTACCTGTTGGATTCGCGCGGTAGTGCCTTGACTACTGCGAGGAATTGTGCACGTGTGTCGTTCACGCCATGCTCGTGGAAGTCGGCTTCTGCGTAGCAGAACCAGGCTTCGATATTGTCGGGCCAGAAGGGCATGAGTTGGAATGAGTGTGGGGACAAAGTCTTAAGCTTAAATATTTTAGCTGTCTGTTCAGTCATGATGAAATATGAAGTACGATAATGAACGAGGGAAAAAGTATATATATATTCAAAAAGCACAAAAAAATATCACAATGTATACAAAATTAAAATAAAGCAATGATATGTAGAATCCCAAAAAGGAACAGACTCACAGTTTACGATTTGGTGTACTAGATCACGTCAGGCTCACCAATGATGATGGCACACGTATTCAGTGTATGACAACACTTTAACCAGTAACACCTAATATAACTCGTACCCACCAAGAGAAATCAAAAGACAGAATCGAGGAGATCAGAAGTTGTATTTGACGATTACCAATATATCGGAATTGTCTGATCTAATCTGGCTAGCGATTGCGGTAGATGTTGAGCACGGCGTTCCCACACGTGATCTGGTGCGGATGCCTGACCGAGCGCCTTCTGCTAGGTGAGCTCATCAAAACTAATCTGGTCAGCATCCAATGTCGAAAACATACAGAGCTATTTATTTTGAGGATTTATTTGCCGCTACGGTGCATTTGGTCCGTAAAGTGTGATCACAATTTCGACCAAAATCTACAACACCTAATGATGAAAGATACAAAACTCTAATGCAGATTTTCTTATTATCATATCCGTTTCACCTTTTGTTGCTACAATCCGGTCTTCTCACACCATATCGATTTACTAATTAATTAACTTATTTAACTATTTATTTCTTAAAACAGTAGTTTTCTCTGAGCGTTCGGACTATCACTTTGTAATTTTTCACACTGCAATCAACCTTCTGCCTGGTTGATGGTAGCCAGAGTCCTTACTGCCCTGAGACACATGTACTCACTCAAATTGGAAGGTATACAAATCCACAAATTACTACCAAACTGACTAGAATTTGTGCTGTCAAGTGGCTATAATAACATCCACTGAACATCAGGAAGTACCTGAAACTGTGCCAAAACAACAAGAGGCGACCACAAAATAATCAGTCACTTATATAAGCTCATGACGATGACAGTGAATAGGAACAGAAGCGAAATTTATTTCATTAGAGTTCCGAGGATGCAAACGAGTATCCGTGCACCTACACAAATAAGAACCTTGTCACACAACTCGAATTGAGATATCAAAGAACGATCTTTTCACCATATCTGCTGATTAAATTTTGGGAGTTGTTTAAGTTTGTGCCGTCGGCTCAAGGGCATTCGGGCATGTCTGGATTCTAATATTGTTGACTTGTGTTGTCAGTGATTGTTGTCTATTGCTTTCTGTAGTAAATGTAAGTGCATTTGATGGGTCATCGACCCGCATTTTCTTCCATCTTTTCTAGCTCTCACGCTACTTTGCTTGTTTCGTTAGTCCACACAGTACCTTCTGGTTAGACTCAAACCGTTACAATAGCCTGTGAGTTGCAATGCATTCAAGATCTTACACACATCCTTCATGCTTTCTCAGTTAGGTTGCTTTCTATTGTTTGTATTCGTGGTACATGCTATCGTGGGTGCTTTGTTTGATACAACGCAACCACTAACTAAATACAAGCATTTTAAAGATTATAGACCACATAGCGACAGTTCTATCTTTCTAAAACTTATACCAACTGACAGGTCTTGGGAAGTACGGTTAGGTAGTAAGAAAATTCATGATTCAGGTGCAGAAAACCGTAAGCAAACCGATGTCTACTGACATTTCGTGATGTATTTACGTTATTCTGTCAGTAGTCATGTTCGCAATTCATTGACTATTTGTGGTACATAGTGTAACATCACAATCTCCCAAGTTTGGGGGAATTCTGGGTAAGTTTTGGGTAACCTCCAAAGTCAGATGACCAAGGCTAAGAGGGGAATTTTGGGGAAATGGTGGGGAATTTTCGCAGGTCTGGCGAAATGTGGTTTTTGTACCATTTCCCCAAAATTTCCTTAAAGTTTACTACAGCGGCTTCCCCAGAATGGGTCAAATTTTCTCCGAAATTGGAAGTTTGGGGTATTTTGGCTTCCTATAAATGACATTATTATGCTTCATTTCCTTCTTGCTTATCTGTTCTGTGAAAAATTGTTTGATGGAATCAGGTTGTACTTTTTAAAGCAGGTGAAAACACATCGCACACGTTCAAACGTGCAAGTGTTGTTTTTTGCAGTCATTTGTTAAGTAGTTGGCACTCATTTTTATTATTTCAACAAACTAGTTGTTTTCTGTTAATTCAACATAGTTATGCATGTGTTGCATTGTTTGAAATTCTTGTTTTTAAATGTGTCTTGGATCAACAATTTAGTCTCGCTTTTGAGTCTTCTACATTTACTTTGCCTGAGCAGTTTTGTCCTCCGTTTTAGGTCAGAAAGATAAGGATTCCATTTGCAAAACTTGGAAAATTGTTCGGCGTAATGGAAGTCATAACTATACCCGCCTTGTCGGATAACTACATGTATGTAGTTATCGACAGAGCATCAAATGTAAGTTGGATGTTTTTTATTGTATATCCCACCTAAAAACACATTTTCGATTTGAGGATTACCATCTTCAGCTATTAGAAATTTCAGTGTTATTGGGTCTTGATTTAGTGATCTCAATCAAACTATTGAGTCAACCGACCTATTGCATTCAGGTTTGTATCTGTACTTACTTTTGGCCTGGTGCTCAAGTCGTTTGTTCATGAGTATAGATTGTTGTCTATTTTCAAATTCACTCTAGCGTTTACCATAGATAGTAATTAGTGTCTTCGGAAATACTGGTTTTGCGCAACCTGTTCATCACCCAATATGGTCTGACAATAAATCGTCCGGTAATTCCAAATGAAAATTGACTTGAATGATACAAACTATAAAGAGAGAGAGAGAGAGAAAAGATGCATTTCCATGGTAGCCGGTGACCAACGATCGGTTCATACGCAGTTTGTCCCCTCAGGATCCTGGAGCCCATGTGCACCAATGGTTTGGAATCAGGGTTTTCCAACTCCTCTAGCTGGATCCTCCATAACCACCCACCTGGCTAAAGAGCCGGACATTCACTTTTCGTCCTCTCAATTTCGTAAACAACACCACCAAGAGAAGGCAGTTAGTAGGACTTTCCTGACAGTGACTGTATACGCGTGGTCATGTGAGAGAGAGAGGGAACAGGCTCTTCCCATCCTTGGCCGTATCAGGGCGTTCAGGGGGCTCTTTATGGGATAGTAACTCAACGTAACCGTACTTATCATTGTATGCAGTTTTTTGGTAACTATAAAACATTCCCAACTAGGATTGTGAATATTGCATCGTTTCCTCATTTTGTGGGGATAGTCTACATTCACTCATTATGTTTTCCTACTAATTCAGACGTGCTAAGACAACTTACGAGGTTTCTTCTATTCAAATTTAAACGTTAGTTGACCGAATTCCCCATCATAGTTCGAGAATATCATGTAGTTTTAATTATTTAGCACAAATTTAAAAAATACCTAACATTTTTTGTGTATAATCTAATACAAGATATGCGCAGTTGTGGATCCAGTGGAACCTGATAAGATTTTGAGTGCAGTCACGCAACGCGGTTTGCGACTTGAATCTATATTGACAACTCATCATCACTCGGACCACGCTGGAGGAAACCTTGACCTTGTAACTAAATGCAGGAAACAAGGCTTAGAGGGAGTAAAGGTGTATGGAGGAGATGATCGTATTAGTGGTTTGACTGATACTGTGTCTCACGGACATAAAATAAAGATTGGTAGCAACCTCAATGTTTGTTGCTTGGCTACACCATGTCATACTACTGGTCATATATGCTATCTGGTTACCGAAGAAAACAGTACCAAAGAAGGGGTGGTATTTACTGGCGACACGTTGTTCCTTGGGGGTTGTGGAAGATTTTTTGAAGGGACCGCTGAACAAATGTAAGTCAATGTAACTTTTGGCCATCTATACCTCAAACTGGTTGAGATTAAAACTACTAAGTCCCAATTCTGGCTAAGTAGCAAACTCGTTAGTGAGAAGTTTAAAGCTCTCGAACTCAGTCTCGTGTAAAGTAACCCTTCCACTGTGTGGGAAACCAGGAAGTGATAACCACCCTCACACTTCTAAGAGCATTCGAGATCACCGTATTTCTCTCGTATAAAGTTAACGATGATCACTCGAGAAATCCCAAGTAAAATGAGGCTTTACTGTTTGGTCTAGTATTTTGTTAGCTGCGATCAACTTGCTATAAACACTACCTTCAGGTTGACCAGATCCTCAAAATCAAGTATTCAACCAGTCTCAATCAGCTTAGACTTCATTTCAGAGCAAGCAGTAATCCCGATTTCAAGTGCATAAACTTAGTGTATTCTGTCTTATAAGTCGCTGGTCCATCATGCTTTTATTTTCTCTGGTCATTTTGTCCATAAAAGGCCTTTAAAACTGTCAGACTTGTTCACATCCTAGACATGCACTGTTACTCTAGACAGTCAGAAGGTTGGGTTCTGTCACCGTCTTCACCAAACGTAACTGTCATCTGCGTATCCACAGGTCACAAGTAATTCTCCTAGTAGCTCAATTTCTAAAATGTCAAACCATGAGAGCGCTTTCTGCCGAAGAGTGTCTATCAAAGCTGTGTAGATTTGAGAAAAGCGGGAAGCCCTGACGAAGCATACAACTTGTGGTTGGTAACTGCGATGACTGTTTCCCATAAATTGTAACTTGACCACTAATGTTTAAGGAGAGCGTGTATAAGGTTTATTTATTTCTCTGCCGATTTGCGAAGTGGAACTCCGCCTTAAGATCAGTAAATGCATCTTTGGTTGGAAGTCAGTAGATATGTCTGTATTCCAGGATCACGACCAGGTTTAAAGTCGTCTTTGTTTTCTCGGGATCGATCTTTACGAGTCGTAGTTAAGCGTTAGGTAATTGTTGAGGCTAATATTCCATACATTATGTTAGTCAAACTAACTTTTGTAGTTATCATAAAAGGGTTTCTGTCCTCATTAATCAAGAAAACCAGCTATCGAGACACCAGGTGAGATTACATCAAGTTTCCAGATTCTATATAATATCTATCAATCTAATTACTAAAACCGGACTTTCATTCCTAGAGAGTAGTCCATCAGGACCTCTCATTTTAGATTCCCTATGGTCAGGTAGCTTATAATGTCGTCTCATTGAGGTTATTTATCAACCGTAGGAGACTGAAGTTCAGTTAAGCTGTTCTTGGAGGTACTATCCCCATCATTCCAATCTCGCTTATGTTGAGTAAATCGTTACTCCATCTCCCGAGATATTTTGATTAACTTCCGAATCCCGAATATCTATTCATTTGACAAGTCCGAAAAGTTGTACATTGTTATCTATAGCTACAAACCTTTCCGCCTCTTTTTGCTAACGCTCTCAACACTACTGCACAGCGAAAGCAGGAAAGTTACACACCATTGTGCTGTTGTCTTTCACACTAAATAACTTTGTATTCAAATCTTTTTATCGTCACCGTGTTTTCTCATTGTTCGTATTTTCAAAAATTAAGCCTTAAAATATCATATACGTTTGTACAGCTTGATATTAAGTTCTTTGAAAGGTCTCTTCGCTGAATTTTGGTGTTTCAGTGTTCTTTATTGAATTATTGGTACAAACGCAAATACTAGTTAAAAATGGAGAAGGGTGACCCTATGGATTCATATTTACTGGGTTGGATTTTGAACCAATATTTTCAACATTTCTTAAGTTCCTGAGGATTACCATGGCTAAGTTAGTGTTTCCAATCACCAAGCGAGACAGCATCCTTTTTTTTTTAAAAGTTGCTACGGCGGAACAAGTAGTGGTAAAATGTATTTAAATAAAAAGAGAGTTGAATAGTGGCTAACAGAGGAATCCGGGAGGCACGTTTCTTTTCATATGGGGTTCGATGATTGTTTGTGTCCACCCGTGTTTGTGCTTACGCTGAGATTCAAACCCACTACATTTTACTTCAAGCAACCACTCAGCTATTAGGTCACAATAGGAGAGAACACATGTATTGTATTCTACTGCTGGCCATTGTCCAACTCGGCTTAAAATCCTTGTGACTCCGTGATAATATTGAGTCAATCCGCTTAAGATACACATCCTAGAAGGAAGTGATCATTTGCAGTTCCTAACACCAATGAGAAGATTCACTCAATCTTCCCAAATATGATTTGAGCAGAAAGCTATAACGGCAAAAGCATCACGTCTTTAAGATGTTTGTACTCGATAGTCCGGAAATACTGACCAGAGTGGTCAGCATCAGTTCATTATTTGTTTTACCAGGGTAACTCATTTTTGTGTCGCATTGAGAAATACCTTTATATATATTTTGGATTTTAATGTAGGTTTAAAGCACTTATTGAGGTTCTTTCCAAGTTACCAACAACAACGAAAGTCTATTGTGGGCACGAATATACTGTAAAAAATCTTGAATTTGGCTTAACTGTTGAGCCAAAAAATGACGCGCTTAAACACCGGTTAGAAGCTGTAAAACGTTTACGTGCGTCTAATCAAGCAAGTGTTCCCGGTACAATCGGAGAGGAATTAGCAACCAATCCTTTCATGCGTGTTTGTGAACCAGATGTGCTCGCACATGCGAAAACTACCGATCCCATCAAAGCCATGAAAACAATTCGCGAAGAAAAAGATCACTTTTAGATTTGAAACTGATTTGTCTTACGATAACAGCGATATATTGCAATTTCTTCAACGAAGTCAGTATGTCTTTTTATATTTTCGAACATTTAATATGCTTATCTTGACCCTGAACATTGATAAAACATATTAAATAAATAAATAAAATTGGTACTAATGAGTTGTTTGTTTTGTTGTTAAATTTAGGGATTTACATTGTCCTGGTTTCGATGACCAAGGATATGTTGTGCTTCAGTCCTCTAATACACTTAAAACCTCTGATCTTATAATACTTTGTTTTGTTGTTATTGTTGCAGAATGTGTTCATGTACGCGTAGGAACTAATAAATTTGTAATTACCCTAGAGATTCACGTCGGAAATGTTTTTGTCATTGCTTGCCATATTGTAAGTTGTTACTAGTTGTATAGGAATGAAATTCCAGCTCATTGGTTGTATATCTAACTATTCTGTTTTGTATTAAGTCGATAAAAGCCACTGGTGATTTGTTTAGTCTCTTACCAGCCATATTACTTAGCTATTGTTAATGTCTCAGTAATTTACCATGGAATCTAACCCTAGCTACACTTTTTTGAGTGTTTTTGTGAACTCTATCCATTACATAATGGCCTCCCAAACCTCCAGTTAGACCAACATGATTATATAGATAAACTACTAGGGCATAGCCTTTAAATTTTGGTAGATAAACAGCGGGAGTATTTGTACTACAAAGTTGTGTAATTAATGTTCAGTTGATTTGTTTTGGACAGGTAAACTTAACATTGGTGAGTTCAGAGAGCTATGAAGATTAATTAGAGGAATACAGGCTAATCCACTCAATAATGAAAATCAAATACTCTTAGTTTGTTTTTCACCTGTTCGTAACAGATTTAGAGTGCGGCAGCATCGAGATCTGAATATATGAAAACGTGTTTATTTACGTACTTCTTGATGGTCACGTATTGTCTCGTATTTGCCGGCGTAGACTTTTATTGTATAATTCTATTTGCTTAATATGATTACTTTTGCTCCTTTCTGAACAGATCTTTTCCTTAGCTCATTGATGATGATAGTGAGTGGTACCGAAGATGTTATATGCTTAGTGAATTTCCGTACACGCAGCAAATTAGTTATCAAGTGTACTTAACTTGATTCAATATTTAAAGACATCGTTTCCTCAGCTTTCCGAACAATGTGATATAGTTACATTTCACTGTTTCGTAGTTTCAGTATGGTGTTTGGTATATTGACCCTAAATCAACATTGAAGTCAATTTATTGTTGATCGGTGTCACCTTTGTGGGATGTATACTCGTGGTCGCTTCGCTTGGTGTTAATGGGTAGTTGTGCGGCATGTTCATGTGCATTATAGATGCAGATAGCTTAATAAATATTAATAAAAAACCCAATAGAAATGTCATCATATTAGATTATGTCGTGTAGATAACAACAAGAGATCATATGTGTGAAAATAAAAAGCGTTGTCAAATTAATAGGTTAGGTTAGCAGCGGATTATAATGTGGTTGCAGTTAGTTAACTAAAATGTTTCCGTTACAGTATTTCAAAGTTATAGATGGGTCAAATCAAATGATTTCAGAAACAATTATGAATGAAATCATGAGAATATGAGAAATAATTAAACAGTGGGATATTTTCAAATACGAAGTATAATAATGGTGGTTTAAGTTCATGATAAAGATAAGACGTACTTTTGTACGCACAGTTCTGGAAGTCCTCACGAATGGCAAGAGTTAGTGTTTTAGGGAGTTGGAGACGAAGAAATCTGGGTAGTTTGGACATAGTATAAACAACCTTAAGATCAACATATGGATCAGTGGAGTGAATGTGTTCGGTTAGATGTTCAATTATGCAACTCCTGGTTGCTTCCCTCTCACGATTGTAGAACCACATTGGGATATGTTCTCGTATCCGCGTTGGGAAAAGGCGCTGGCTGTGGCGTATGTACCTTTCTCCACGACGACGGATGGACTGGTAGATGTGCATACAGGTGATCAAACGAGGAAGCTTATACTTCACGGATACAGAAAACTAGTGAACGTTAGTCGCAGCTTTGCTGCTCAGGACGTTCATTTTATCACTGCCGCTAACCGATTTTTAATTACACCAGAAGTTTGGTCACCTTTAACTTGCAGATTCACATAAAGATATTTCTTTGACACGGAATCGCCGTATCCCTCGTTCGGATTTCATTTTATAATCTATATGAAGCGACTTGTATATCCGTTTTCAGCCAGTTTTCCTGGAGAATGCAAGTTAGTTAGCATTCTTAATACTGTCAATAAATTGTAGAGTATCATGAACAGAATACTTAAGTTCTTGCCTTATAACCGCTTCCAATTTTTCAGCCAGCGACTGGGTGTTAGGCTAAATTAGACGTATCCAAAACAGGTCGTAACAGTAATCCGGGTTTCTTTACTTTCGGCAATTCACATAAGCGCGGGATGATGATCGGACCCACTGGACATACGTGATTATACAAGTCCTGGGTTATTATTTCCATATTCAAATTTTTAACATCAGTTAGCTGTTTTCAATTCGTAAGTTCCGAAAATTTAGTACCATTCTTTAGGATTGAAAGCATCTTGTTTAAGTAATCTTGAAGATCAGGAAGTACCATACCAGATCCTTTTTCAGGTCTACTTAGGACTCAGTCCTTATTTCTTTACAGGAGGATCTGCTGATCTACATAAATTTTGGTTAATAAGTCATTATGACCATTTTGTGTTAATGCATCCATGACAGCAACCAAGTACCATGGTTGCGAAATTATTGTGATGTTGGAATGAGATCATAAGTTTGATTTACTAGGTTTTCAAGTTGTATTTGCGTATGAGGTCTACTGGTTTTTACAGAATTTGGAGCCCACTGATAAGACCTGCATTTGGTTTGACGAAAGTGTGATTAAACATGTATTTTCCGGAATTTCTTTGAAAATTGTCATTTACATCTACATGTTTTAAATATTTGAGTTTAGCAATGTGGGATTGCTCTTCAGTGACAGTAAAAACAATCCCCAAATTGTTTACGTTCATCTAACGATCCATATGATGAGTGACTTATTAAAGATATGTTGCATTCTATTCCAACTAGTCGGGATTTAATAGCATCGATACGACTAATTGTATGATGTTCGAGGATTTTCGCCTTAGTCTCCTTCCACAAATGGTGATGAAACTCACTACTTCACTAACGCAAGTTTGGCGGTGTGACGTAAAGGCCCACTGAGTTCTTTTATCGTCTTAGGATCTTTGCATTTCTTCAATAGACATTTAATTCCCAATAAAACATTAAAAATACGAAGTTCAGAGAAGGGATCACTTTGTTATAACTTGTCAATTGAATGCTACTTGTTATATCTGGTCGTCGCTGATTGTTGGTTCGGAAACGCTTATCACATACTCGAAATGAGGGAACTCGGCAATTCCCACGATGCGAAAGTAAGGACGCAAAGACTGGTATAGGTGAAGATTTATTGACCCCAAAACACGACGACGATAATCAAAAATACACTCGTTTATATATTGATTGTGCATACAATTTGAATAATAATTAGGATGGAATCATATATATGGAAAATACTTAGTTATAACATATCATATACTGAGCATAGTTCATGTCAATTGAATACAAGTATATCGTATATTATACAGAATAAAATATCGTACGAGAAAAGCAAAACAATTACTACACCGAATAATTACCACACTGAATCAAAACTGAAGTAATGTTGAGCAAAACCAATCGAATCTTGACTTTTCTTCCCATCACATCACTTTTCAAATAATTCGTAATAACAACATTTTAATTATCTTATTACGACCACATTACAATCCGTTGCTAACTTTAATTTAACAAGGCTTTTTATTTGCAAATATACGATCTTTAATCGTTATCATTCACACTAACCTAATATTGTAACCACTATATTGTATCATGTTTATATATCATCACGGAATTATCAACTACTAAACAAGTAAAACAGTACGAGATATAATTTAGATATCTGTTATTAGTGACTAAGTATCAGGTGGCCTGGGAATTCGATTGTTATCCAGTGAACGTTGTAATCATTCTCTTGATTAGTGAAATTTGGGTACAGGATTTAGATTAAGCATTTTAGGGGTTGATGTTCACTATTGCTTGATAATCAAAAAAAAGATAATGTAAAAACAACTCTTCGCTAATATGGAAATCTCATCCTATAGCTAGGAATATTACCTAGTTAAGTTGCTTTAAACTGTCTCTACCCATAATTTACAGATATAATTTAAGACGAAGTGACTTACATCGTTTGGGACAGAACTATTGCAGTGACTTCACTACTTCTCTCACGAGTACTAACTTCTTTGGTGTAAGCGCATCAAACGCTTCAAAGTAAGACGAAGTATCTGCGTACTGTTTTGCACAAAAGTGGGCAATTATTTACGGCTAAATTGTTTTAGTATGTATATTCCAAGCTTTTACACCTTCATTGTAATTAGGAAGTTCCGTATTATTGTACAAGCTAATTAACGTATGTCATATGATGACGTTTATGGGATTGATGTTCACAAAATGTCAAATGAACCTTTTCAAAACACAAGGGCTTTCTGTATTTGAGACCTCTTTTTTCACTCCTTTTTACCAAGCAAAAATGTTACAAAGTGGTATCAGGTACTTTGATCCAGTTAGTTATAAGTGGCTTTTGTTTTTAATAGGATGTGACTCCATACTAGTGAGCCATACTATAAGCTTCTGCGTGCATAGAAACACACCCAACAGACTAAAATCATTCATATTGGAGAACCTGGATATGTACCTAGCCTTTCTTAGCTGTACATAATCTAAGATCTTTATATGAGATTCAGGAGTAAAAAATTCATTATATAGTATATTTTCGATATCTAATAAGTAAGCACTCCTAAAATAATTAAGGAACACAACAGACCTACACTTCCTTTTCATCAAATAAGAATGATTGCCACAGATAAGCCCAAGGTGAAACATGAATGAGTACATAACAAATGAGGACTGCCGAATAAGTCTGACTACTTTGAAGTGGAGTAATGTGCATATATCTAACAGCAAAGATTTTTGTTTAGAATGAATTATGTTTACTGGGTACACAAAAGTCAGTAATGCCAATATGAATTGAAGACCAAGTTCCTTGCAGAATACTGTGGGAACCAAGTCATACTTAAAAAATTGTGAGTACATACAGCCCCGCATGCTGTGCTAAACCATGTAGATTTACACATACCAATACACCTAACGAGCGAAGATTATCGGACAATGTTCTATAGACAAAACACATGAAATCAGGGTAAAGTCGTGATTATGAGGTTGAGAACATGCCTTTCATCATTTGTATAAATTCTTAAGATTAAGGATACCCATATAACAAGCGGCTCATCCCGATACTACAAGAAATTATGCTCCAGTTGTCTTATAAAAGGTTGGTGACAGAAATTTTCACATCTACCAGTGATGGAAGACCAGAGGCCGTATTCAAAAGGGGCTTGTTAATCTACTTGATGATGCAGATGAACCAGCAGCAACACCTTCTGTTACTTGGAATATATCTGGTGTTGCTGAATGAGAACCACAGGAAACTATAATTTTAAGATGTTCAAACATGTTTGCAAATTTGGTTTGTTAAACACTACAAAACGTCATAGTTTATTTCCTGGTTCTGAATACACAAAGTAACGGATACGGTGTTACATGAATAGACTGAGTACAAGCCAGCAGTCATTGTAAAATTGTGCTTACAAATCGAATAGTAAGTAAAAAAAGATAGGTTTAACCAGAAAAAAAACGTCTGTTCATTCAAGAAAAACTATGACATTTGACGTCAAACGAAGAGTAATATGGTATATGATAATATATATGTACATAACGTATCACAATAACTAGCTCAGTCATACGATTACTGCTCTTCTCCAAGTGGGTCGGCGAGACCTTCTGTTTCCATTATAAGTGCTCTTTCTAATATCACTTTGCCTTCCTTGTACCGCTGACTCTCCTCCATTGCGTGTTCGTACATCCAACCCAACTTGGTATTGCACTTGATGCACACAACATCTCTTACTAAGTGACGCCCAGTCAACATAACACGGTCCTGAAACGAACACAATCGTTAATCGGAGTTGCTCAAAACCAATCGTACTTGTATATCACTGTGAACTATGTTAACAACGCGATTAAATAAGAATGCACGGCCAGTAGCACCTGTAAAGCGAGTGCTAAGTATCTCGCTTCTATTTGTCAATGGAGTTTCACAATACTGACAGTGTATAATCCTATGTCCACCCATATGCTCTATGAAAATCCGACCCATCTTGGCGATTCGCTAGTCTAAAAAGGAAACGAAAACTACAGAATACAGCTGATTCCTGGCAAGTCGACCTCAGAATCGATACATTAAAACAAACTCTGTGCTTTGTAGTAGTACAAACTCTCCATATACTTCTCTGAGATGTTTATCGTATTAAATAGGCATTCAATGATTGGGTGGGTAAATGTATCACTTTTAATTCGAGTTGATAGTTTGATGGTGGCGGGAAGCTTTAATAACGGATCAGTTGATGTAAATTTCAAATCGATAGGGTAAGGAAAGTCATTTAACTCCACAAATAAAATTTCTCTCATGCTTACGGTTGAAGAGTGAATATACGTCCTTCTAGATCATTTTCTAGGTTACTGAAATGGTGAATTCTGTATTCGACTAAGGCTGCTATTCATGTTCCTTAAAATAATAGAAAAATGTGTTCTATGATTCACGTACATTAGACGAGAAATGCATTTCTAAAGGATTAGTGTAGAGATGCATAATTTCTCAAAGTACATACTTGAAAAGTATTGCGGATTTGATGGAGCTTTAATGAACTTGACAACCTGAAATAATAAACTCATGCCTCCTGATCAATTTTTAGTACGCTACCGCTATAACGAAATTGTCATTCCGTTCACTACTTTCGTCACAGTCTAGTAAGAACAAACTTATTTCTTTGCCCATAAGCCTTGATATTAAGCTGTGGTATGAGGGACTACACGACTTTCGACATAAACCTGTCCTCAGTAATCCAAAGGAATTTTAAAAGTCACTGAAAATAGGAAAAGCAGCCAGTAGGTGGGCTTATCTGGTATGAGAATAACCGTTATTTCCATCATGCATTGAATGTATAACATCTGTCATTGTCGAGCAATTTCATGTTCGCTAATTGGATTATTGCTGCATAAAGTTATTTTTTTACTGAGGATTTCATTTTATTCATTTAAAGCCATATATATGTTTTTATGAAGTAGTCACTGCACGTCACCTCAACTTGCTTGGTAAAAAAAGCGATTAAAGTTAAAGTTACAGATTGAGATGAAATTTTCAGTAGAACTTATGCTTTTACACTTAACGGTCATCTGACGAATGAACGACGAAATGTCCAAAGATACTTGATACCACACACAGGTTGAACGTTGAAAATATATACACCATTAATTCACGGACGCGTAGCTTATTTCCTTGTTTGTTTGAGAGTGAAGATGCCACAGGTGTTCGGAGTTTGACAACGCTTTAAACAGTAACACTTTCTAATATGAATCGTACCCACCAAGTGAAATCAAACGACAGAAGCGAGGAGGTTCGAAGATATATTTGATAGGCTATCAATGTATCGAGGATCGTCTGATCTAATCTGGCTAGCGATTGCAGGGGTTGTTGAGCTTGACGTTCTCACTCGTGATCTGGTTCGGATGCATGACCGAGAGCCTTCAGCTAGGTGTGTCCATTAAAACTAATGTGGTCAGCATCCAATGTCGAAAACTTACAGAGCTATTTATTTTGGGGATTTATTTACCGCTACAAGAGCAACGGCGTTGTTGCTGGTATTTCAGCAAGCCGCCATTTCTTCTGTTAGATTATATGCAACAGGATATTGGAATGTATTTGAAAAGTGACAAGACGTGACTATCGAATAAAAATTAGTCTTTGGTACACAAGCGCACATAATTTTAAGTGGTAATCAGATCCCCACTTCTGAGAACTATCAAAAACCTCATCATCAATAGTCCACTGATTTAGCCCATTATCAACTGGACTGACTGAAAGCGGACCACAGCTGAATACATATTCTTATTTCAAACTTTCACCAGATCCCTATTTTCGGAAAGATCTTAAACGAACGCCTACCACTTTACGACGACCGTATAACCCCTGTTCACTACTGTCATTTAGTTACAACAATACTTTTCGAGTTTTATCCCTTATCTTGAAAGGCAGTATTGCCTGGCTTTCAGGTAGAGAGAACCAGTTCAAAGAGTCACTAATGTGTAGACCTAACTTAATGCGCGTATGTCAAGTAGCTAAGCCAATACAGTTAAATGTAAGACAGATTAAAGCCTCTATCAAGCAAAGATTGAACTTATTTATCTACTACAATCAATTCTGTCATATCATCGTTGGTTAAAAGCTCCTTTCTCCACTGTGAACTCATCAAAGGAGAAAGATTTATTTACTTAGCAGCTATGGCATACTTAATGCTGATACTAGATAGAGTACAATCATCCTAATACATGGCTCAGTAATCCGATTTCCTTAACTATAAACTGGGTAAATATATGTGAACCTTACTTTGTACTTAGAACGCTTTGTTGACCCAATACGTACTTGTTATAGTCCAAGTCGTGATGTTTCAGTATGACGATAATCGCTCTTTGCATTGTTGCGCGACCAGTTTGAATGAAAAATATCATCAGTTGTGTCTGCTGGACATTTTGTGACTTAGGTCCTGGAACATTTGTAACAAATAGAGTACGGATTGAACAGTTTTGAGAATTTATATTCTATGTACTAAGTTCTTTTCTGCTATTTGCGCTTTTTAAATAAACACAAGCTAGTCATACCAATTTCAAGTACTATTGTGTGGTCACATATGGTGGAAAAGTTTTGTGAGTATCGGTCGACTGAATGATATTGAATTCAGGAGGTAGTAACTTCTTGATTTAGTTCAATAAATTTACTGAATGACTAAAACTATTCAGACAGTGGTATGCGTAACTCGATAGAGATGAACCTTCAGAAGCCTTCAATAGAAATGCGAAACCAGTTAATTGAATCAAACCATGAGACTTCCGAGAACACATTTTTTCATACTATATGCATTTGTATGTGAATGATTAATTTATTATAAGGTGCCAAGGAAACTATGGAGTTTAGATTGCTTTAACGCGATTTGTAGATTCATTGTGGTTCCGTACGGATTCTTTAGCAACAATGACATAACAAATCGTTTACATGAACTCATCCATGTAACTCCACATAATTTAATCCCTGATTCCATATAATTTGAAATATTGTTTTTTGACGAGTTCATATAGCACCCAAATTGTTAGTGTGAATATCATTTGCTGAGTTCACGAATCAGTGTTTAAACATCAAAACGTGATGGATATAACTTTACACTTCTTTCTTTCTGATGCTTACCTTCCAAACTACGTTTTCTTCGGTTTTGATGGTTCTGGAAGAACTCCGAAATAAGTGTGTGTGTGGTACATCACGAACCAAATATATGTGCCACATCTGTGTCTTACTCGATGCAAACACACGTTATGCTACTCATAAGCAATACTACCCTTGTCAGGCGTTGTAGAATAATAAACAGTGATGGTGGTGGCTAGCACTAGAATCCATGACGTGTATTTCATCCTACTTGGGATTCCCACTGGGTTCGAGTCCCGGTGTGAACATCAACTCGGGTGCAAGTAAGACCAAGTGGCGAGTCCTAAATAGGATGGAGTGGCGCACAAAATGTATAAATGTCAATGAGAGACTGATCATCTACAATTCTAAACACAAATGGTAGAATACAAACAACAAACAAGAAAAGGAATTGTAGAAAAATGTCGCGGAAATCAGCAGTAAGACGATGGTCAATCAGATTTCTTATTCGGAATGTGGTTTTTGAGCATGAAACTTCGGTAAAAAAAACCCGATTGATCCAGTGAACTCAGCCAGACTTGAATGCTTAAGTTCACGGATGCCTACTGTCAGGACGAGAGTTAATTCCAATCACTGGGAAAATGGATATAAATCATCAATAAATGTTACTTTTAAAACTCTTATGACGTCATGCCATATTTACTTGGAGAAAGAGAACACATTATATGACGACGATTATTGAATTTTATACGGCATGTCGTATCCAGGACAAATGTCTTAATTTCATGAAAGTATGTATAAAGACGAGTTCCGCTCAACTGATTGTTCAACGATGATCCTTATTTTCGCGAATTGGTCTGTGCACGACCGATCCTTACGGAATCTGGTCTGTTGACCCCGAAGTTGGGTGTCTACCGAATCCTTCATCCAGTTCAGCAACACTCTGTTGGAAATTCTTCCTGGTACCGATAGTAGTGTGATGGCCCTGTAGTTTCCACATTTGCTCAGATCGCTTTTCTTTGGCATCCTGATGAAATATCCCTCTTTATAGTCCGTTGGCACTTCTCCTTCTTCCCAAATCCTCCTGAATAGAATGTGGAGCATGTTTTCAGTTGATTCTATGTCTGACTTCAGTGCTTCATCTGGTATTCTGTCAGGTCCTGCTACTTTTCCACTCTTGGTTTGTCTGATGGCCATCCTAATTTCTTCGATAGTTGGTGGAGTGACATCTATACGAAGGACTGTGTGTTGTTTTAATGTCTGGTGGAATCAAGTTAACTGGTCTATTTGAGAGTTCTTCTAGGTGCTACACCCACCTGTTCCTCTGTTCTTGAACCTCATTGATTGACTTGCCTTCTTTTCCTTGACCGGTTTACTATATTTCCCTTTCATTTTCTTCGCTGTGTCATATAATTGTTTCGTATTTCCTTCCCGTGCATTTTTTTTCTCTGTCTTTTCCACGTATTTCCGCTTGTCGGCTCTAGTGCTTCTGTGAATTCAGCTTGTGCCTTGATATCCTCTGTTCTTGTTTGGCTGTTGTTAATTACTGTCCTCTTGTCCTTCCTTTCTTGAATATTGTCTAGGGTTTCGATAGAGATCTATTCCTTATGATGAAACTTGTTGCGGCCCAGAACCTCCTAACACGTTGAAGTTAATGCTTCTTTGATCCCTTTCCAGTTTTCCTCCATAGTAGTTTTTTCTTCTCTCATTAGATCTTGTAAGGCCTAAAACTTGTTGTTGAGATCTATCTTGAATTCGTTGAATTTGTCAGTATGTCGGAGGAAGGCTCTATTAAACCATTGTAATGTTGTTTCCCCAGTTGCCCAGTGCTTCTTTAGCTTCAGTTTCATCTTGGCAACCACCAGTTGGTAGTGATTAAAAGCTTTGCCAGCTCCTTTCCTGGTTCC